AGTAGTCAACAAACCAGGAAGAAGAAGCACTAACAAGAACAAAAAGTGAAGAAACAGCCACTGGCTCAAGACCCACTCGTCTCAAATGCTCCCAAACTCCCACTCAAAAACATTACACCAGCCACAAAATACAGACAAACAGACATTCAATAACCACCTAGTCACTATTAATTTCATTTAATTCTTTAAAAAATAAACAAAAACTAAATAAAAAACAACATGATTTCATTTAATCAAAAAATTTAACAAAAAACAAAGCAAAAAAATTAATAAAACCCAGCTGTAAAAAGCTCAAAACCAGTCTAATGTCTGGAAGTGATGAGGTTAATACCATACAACAAACTTTATCAAAAGGCAAGGTGGAGTTTTATTGAAAGGAGACGCATTACCAACATTGTAGAGAAATTAGTAAATATGTCTTTACAAAAAGTGCACCACCTGCTTCAAATCCAGAGACATGTTGTTGAAACAGCTTGCGAAACAACAGTCGATGGCACTCGCTCACTTTCTCATGTGCATATACGCCCACACACACACACACACACACACACACACATATATACCCTCTTACGCACACGCAACAATCAAGCATTCACATACACACAAGCACACATACACATATACAGACTCGCTCCGGCACACAATTACACACACACACACACACACACACATATTCACACACACACACACATACACACTCACACACACACAGAATGCACTTACAAAGCCAGTGATCCCTCCACCGACAAATGCCCACAGATATCAAACAACAAAGCTGGCTCACCAACTACTCTAAATACTTCCTTTTTTTTTTTACAAAAAGACATGGCCTCACCAGCAGTGAACAGTGGCAGTATTGTGTACGTCAAGAGACTGAAAAAACAATCAAACACACAAAGCACACCGCAGTCATCATTGCAATCTGACAATCATCAATCCAGTTCGACAATCCTCAAATTAATACGACAATCACCAATCAAATTAGACAATCATCAAATCAACAGGACAATCATCAATCCAGTTCGACAATCATCAAATTAATACGACAATCACCAATCTAATTAGACAATCATCAAATCAACAGGACAATCATCAATCCAGTTGGACAATCATCAAATTAATACAACAATCATCAATACAGTTCAACAATCATCAAATTAATACGACAATCACCAATCTAATTAGACAATCATCAAATCAACAGGACAATCATCAAATCAGTAAGACAATCATCAATACAATCATCACCGTGAGAAATCTTAGAAAGCAAGTAATGCCACACATCATCAGCAAAATCTCTTACCGCATCAAATTACAATTACCGCATCAAAGACACCAATCATTTCACACTCAACCGCTGCAGCTACGCTAACAAAACTACACACCAAGCACCGAAAAAAAAAAGAAAATTTTTCAATCTCCCAATCAACGAACGCTTTCAAACTACAAAAAAATATCAATCATATATAAATTTTTCGCAAACATCTCCTCCCAGCCAATCAGAGTTCATCGTGGTTCTCCTCCAGGTATTTCTTCACGTAGCCACTCAGGTCCTCGAGGGCGCGGGGGCCCCGGTAGTCGTTGACCACTTCGCCGTCACGGAACATTTTCAAGGTCGGGTAACCTCGTACCTGGGATAAACCAAACGTTTTGTTCGCTAAAAAATTGGTCCTTGATCGTCATTGATTCATTCAAAGGGGTTTTACAATACTTTCAACACAAACATTTGTGTCATGACGAGATGGAATCAAGCGCTCATCAATTTTGGGGCATATGGAATTATTGGTATCATCTTAATTAAACCTTGTTCAATTGTCTTGCTTTCGATAAAAAAAAAAGACCCATCTATCTTGAATAGAAATTTAAAAATATGCGTTTGAAGGAGGTGGGAGTCACCGGGTTTCAGAGGTAAAATTAGAGAGAAGATGGCCACCAAAGTTTGGTGACTTCCAAAGATTGAGAGTCCGTGGAAACTGTAAATTTACGTTTGATGTTTCTTTGTTCAACGTTTTTCAGTAAAACTCACACAGCAATCAATGTGTTTTTAAATGGGCATGAAAGGTGTTCAGCTAAAAAAATAAAAATTCGATAAAAATGGCCTGACAGGAAGAAAAATGCAGTTTCATTCAATTTCATTATTTTGACGAGCTCCTGATCTCACCACCATGCCTGACATTTGTGGAACGATGTGGTGGAATCAGGCGCGCGTCACGTTCAATTTTGGGTCATATGGAGTTATTGGTATCTTCTTAAAGCATGTCCATTTGCCTTGCTTTTGATGAATTTATCTCGGATACAAGTCAAGATATTTGCGATTGAAGGAGGTGCGGTCGCCTTGTTTCAGAGGTAAAATTAGCGAGAAAATGGCTGCAAAACTTGAGTTATTTCCTCAGCTTAAGAGTGGAAACTGAAAATTTACATCTTTTATGCCTTTAATCAATGTTTTTCAGTAAAAATCCACAAAGAAATGTGTTTTAAATGGACATGAATGATATTGAGCAAAAAAATAAAAATTCAATAAAAATTGCCAAACGGCAAGAAAAAAGCCGTTTCATTCAATTCCATTACTTTGACGAGCGCCTGATTTCACCCCGATGCCTCTTATTTGTTTTGATCAAATCGGGCCTTTTTTCATCATTCATTCAGTGAGAGTGATGCTACAGCCCTTGCAACACAAATATAGGCCATAATATAGGGGTGACGAAGATTATTAGAAGTTTTACTAGAGAGTAACATACAAAAATAAAGGAGAGATAATAAAGATGATAGATGCTTGATCAAAACGAAGGAGCAAACTAGACAGAGAAAGAGAGATACAGAGAGAGAGAGAGAGGGGGGGGGGTTATTGAGTGACAGTTGATCCCAACCCCACCGCCCGCCCACCGACCCACACCTCCCTCCCGTCCACCGACCCACACCTCCTCCCGCCCACCACATACCACATACCTGGTAATCATCACAGACAGACTTGTGCTGGGTGCAGTCCACTTTGGCAATAGCCACCTCCTCGTCGGCAAAGTGTTTCGCCAGCTCATCCCAGGTGGGGGCAAGTCGCTTACAGTGACCACACCTGGAAGGCAAGATGAGATGATATGAGATGAGATGAGATGAGATGAGATGAGATGAGATGAGATGAGATGAGATGAGATGAGATTTTTATCCAGTTTAACCATGCATTTTCCCCCTCCATTTTTGAAACCTACATCCATTTCCTTCAAAGTTTTGAGCGCCTGATTAAATCAACTATGTTTAGAAGCCATTTAAAAATGGGTTAAAAAAAAATATTTTGCAATTTTTGGTCATGTTTTTTAATAATTTCTTCATTTTTTCCAAATATTTATTTTTCCTACTTTAAATGACATCTTCACATGTCTGTTACCTAATTACATATGTTCGAGACCAAATTACACATGCCTGTGACCTATTTACACATGCCTGTGACCTACTTACAATGTCTGTGACCTACTTCCACATGTCTGTGACCTACTTTCACATGTCCATGACCTAATTACAATGTCTGTGGCCTACTTACACAACCGGTGACCCAATTACGATGTGTGTGACCTACTTACACATGTTTGTGGTCTAATTACACATGTATGTGACCTACTTTCACACGTGTGTGACCTACTTTACACATGTGTGTGACCTACTTTTGCACATGTGTGTGACCTACTTACATATGTTTGTGGCCTAATTACAAATGTATGTGACCTACTTCAGTGCTTCCACCAGCTGAAGCTGAAAAGTAAGGAAAATTCTGCAGGAGGTCTGGGGGCCGCAGAGGCCCCCATCAGGGTCCAGGGACAGCGTCCCGGTGGGGGTTCAGGGGGCGAAGCCCCCGAAGAAATAGAAATTTAGTGCTTTTAGAGGGTAGAAAATTGGCATTTGGGAGCCTGTTTCAAGATATTGCCTACAGCCCATAATATTCATTTTTCACCAACATTTTGTCTTGTTTGACTTCATCGCCAGCATATCTTTCCAATGTTGGAAATGTTTAAAAGCAGGTTCCCCTTTCATTGCTACTATAATTCAATTAATTTGTAGTCGCACCATCGACAGCAGGCAAACCTGGGAATAATGAATAGATGTACCTTCAAAATACGGTTGCGCAGCGTATACCCACATTTTTTCTAAATTTTCATGTCTGAATGTCGCCTGTCACAACCTCGGAACACCACTTCGAATTATTCTTGATTTTATACGTGGTGCTCACTATGGACGGGATCAGCCGATCGCCCGACTCGATCGCCTCAAAAACAAACGTGTTTGTTTTCAGTTTCAAAGCAAACACGGTTGTTCGACCGAGTCGGGCGATCAGCGCAATCGGCCGATCCCATCCATAGTGGGCACGACCGTATCAGCATATTCTTTCATCGCAGCCCTTATATTGCGTTCACGTGCCGTAGAATCTTCGCATTGATAATTTCTCTAGATCTAGATAAAATTTGCGAAAAAAGTTTCTTTCCGACAGTAATTTTCTGTCTAAGATCAAAATCAGTCTTGATCAACGCGCAGATGTTCCAGCCGCGGCAACAATCCGAAGATAGACAGAAGGAATGAGTGAATGACAGAAAGGAGGAAGTTAGCACAAAAGGTTCGCCAGATTTTGATCCATCTGCAGGTAAAAAATGTACTGCCGACCAACACGCAATCAATGCATGGGACTGGGACATAGCGGTATAATGTCCGATTGCAGGAAATGCGCAATTTGGCAGGTTTCTATAACGTTATATTGTTGCCGAGAGAATTACCGTAATATCTGTACCTTATACAAGACGATACGAAGGCGAGTACGGAATTTCGGCAGTCCTGCACTGTCGCAGTTTTTTTTACGGAGGGAGTAGATAATGATGGAGGGACAAGTACGGAACGGGCAGAAAGTACGGATTTCCGTAAAAATACGGAAGAGTGGAAGCACTGCTACTTACACATGTCCATGACCTACTTACCATGGGGCAAAAAACTTGATAAAGATCAGACTGGAAGCCTTCAACTGTGCCTTGAAATTGGCCTGGTTCAGATCCAAGACTTTGCCCTGAAAGGGGAGGGGGGGAGGAAAAAATTATTTTGTTTTTAAAAGAGGGGAAGGGTGTTTATTAATATGTTTAAAAGTGCTTATTATTATGATCCATGGTTGTGAAATTGTTCTGTATTTGTGTAATATTGTGTATTTATGTATGTATGTATATGTGTATGTATTTATCATTTATGTACATATATGTATGTATTTATCATTCATGTATGTATATGTGTATGTATTTATCATTTATGTATGTATGTATTTATTTATGTATTTATGTATGTTTGCCATTGTAAACCAAATTGCCCTTCTGGGATCAAGAAAATTGTAACTTATTTTATTTCATTTAGACACAATTGGCCCATAACATTAGCTGTCATATATATGGGCTTAGTATCAGGGTACCCACATCACTTTAATTGAGCAGTTTGGGTTAGAGCATAGAGACTAGAGAAAAATATCGCACTGAGAGACGAGTTGCTCGGTTAGACTTTTTGTTTGTCTCCTAGGTGTTTTGCATTTTTTAGGGAAAGGGGGGTGGGGGACATTATCTCATTTTCCCATTTGAAAACAAAGAATGCCTCTGAATGCTCCAAGCTAGAAAAAAAAAAAGATTCTAGCCATGTTATTTGAAAAATCACCCACATTCACCTATGGTTATACTTTATCTATAAACATTCACTACTAATGAAAGAAAATAATATCTCCATATTTTAAAAACAATTCTTGTGACTGCAGAGGTGAAAAAAAATATGGGACAGAACATGTTTTTCTACTGGGTTGTTGTATCTATCTCAGCCCAGGTTGGCCCTGACAGGCAGGGTTGGAAGCCCATCTTCTAAATGATCTATGTTGTGATGATGGTGGGGGGGAAGTGTGTTAAAAACATGTCTAATTTAAACTACTCTTATAGTCAGATACCCCCTGAGGAGGAGAGGAGGAG